TTGTGGTCGTAGTAATAGTAGTAGTAGTCTACAGTAGCAGTGGGAGCGGGAGTTAGAGCCCGACTAGGAGTTGGAGTAGGAGTAGTAGGGGTACGGGTAGGAGTAGCAGTAGGGTAGGGGTCCGACAGCAGCGTGCCGATGATTGATCCTTGGCTTGAGGCAAGCGGCACACCCGTGCAGTCTGCGGCCAAGAGCCACTGATGCAACCAACAACCAATGCGTCAGCAGTTTCTGCTCTCACAAGAACATTGAAATCGGACCTCCAAAGGCGCACGGGCACCCGTGATCGGGCGGACATGCCGGCGCGCTCTTCTCAGCATGACTTCTGCAGTTTGATAGAAGACTTGGAGTGACGGCTGTACTGATTTTGAACATTTGGTACCAAACCCAGGCCTGGCGACACGGGCAGGACTTTCACTCTTGGCACCCGGGCTGCAAGGTTACGTAGTTTCGCAGTTTGCTAGAAATTCACCATCCGTTCATCTCGGCTGCCGGCTGTCAATGGCACTTGTCACTTGTAGTTAAGCCTGATGTTTGCAGGCTCTCCACGACAGCGCTCACAGCCGCCTCCTAGCTCCCCACCAGATCGATTTGACCGGTCACCCTCAGGCGGGGACTCGGTGCATTTCGAGTCGCAGTGTGCTTTTTGTCGGAGTATTCGCCTGTAGTGGGAGGGCGCAGAGGTAGTATCGCCTGCACAGGTAGTGGCTATGCTTCGGATGGCCGCTTCCAGGGGTGTGGCGCTCGGACTCTGCAGGCACGTAAGAATCTGCTGCACGGCTAAGCGCAAGAGACTCTCAGCCTCATTGTGCTCGTAGGAACAGTGTAATGCAGCTGGCTGGCAACATGTTGGACACTCCCAGCATTTGGCTTCGGCACGAGGGGTTTGGATCCTTCCAAGTGCCCGGCTGGCAGTCCACACATCGAGGTGTTTTCGTATTCATTGCGCAATGGGGGAAATGTTAAGCAAGTGTCTCCTGGTGCTAGTTGCAAAGTGTTGAGACTTGGGAACGGAGAGGTTGTGAATTCTTTCGAATGCATGTTGCTGCCTCAAGGTCTGGTGCGGGGGAGGCGTGGCGCACCCTTGTAGCGGTTTCGGGCATTCCATTGCAACACCAGCTTGGTCTCGTTATGAGGTCGGCGTCGTTGGATCTAAATATGATGCCTGCCTGCCAGTCGACCTCTACACGGCGAGCGCTGGAAGTGGAGCTTTCGCAGGACGTCCCAGCGTGACAAAGCTGTCCTGAATCCGTCATGTCGGAGGCGGGAGATCACCGATCATTTTCGGTGGCAGTGCCCGTTCTAAGGCTGCAGTCGCGGCCAAGGCGGCGACTCGGGGGAGCAAAGGCGAGGCTGCAGACTGTGCTGGACGGAATCTGCGGGGTGGTCAGCATTCATAAGCACGTGCATGAGCGCTCCCGTAACTGGGCAGTGGGCAGCACAGCAACGGATTAGCATGATGTGTGTGCACTATAGTTGGTTTGCACCACAGCAGCAATTGTCCACGTATGTTTGGACGATCATGGACCGATGTACGCATGCGCTACAGGTATCTACACAAGTGCTGTACATGTCACCTGAATGTATATATATAGGTCTATGTGTATATGTATGTTTATGTGTATATACACATATATATACAGGCATACATATACATAGCTTTATCCGTATCTATATCTGCATCTATATCCATATCTTGGTCTATATCTATAGACATCCGTATCTATATCCGTATTTATATTTGTATGTCTATATATACACATGTATATGTGTTGATGAGGCGGATGTGCCGGGCGGGCTCAGTACCATTCATTTCAGCCTCCATCTTGGTGCTACTGCTTTATATGGCAATATAAGTCATGTGCGCAGAGGCTGCCGAAAATCGGCATGCATCTCCGAAGATGCCAGGAAACTGCCCGTTTTCACGACTCCTCCTTGCGACGATGGAAGAAGTAGCAGTCTGTATGTATGTATTATGTGTGTCTGTATACATATATACGTATTTATATATGTTGGTAATCAGCATGTGTTTATGGACAAGAATACAGTACAATAGAATAGAGCTATACTATAACATAACAATGTGATACATTTAGCTGTAATATACAAAAAACAGTATAGAATAATATAGCATAGTATAGCATAATATAGCATAACATAGTATGATATAGTATGATATAGTATAATATACTATAATATAGTATAATATAGTATAATATAGTATAGCATAGTATAGTATAGTGTAATATAGCATAATATAATATAGTATAATATAGTACAAAATAGTATAAAATACCATAATATAGTATAGTATAGTACAATACAGGATAGTATAGTACAATAAAGTATAACATAGTATAATACAGTAAAATATAATATAATATAGTACAATCTAGTATAATCTAGTATAATATAGTATAATATAGTATAATATAGTATTTATTTGGTATAACATGATACAACACGATGACATACTTGTATATCATTTGTTTCGTCGTCGTCGTCGTTTCGTCATCGACATTGTCGCTGCCAATTGCTTTTGCACAGTTTTCGCTTTCAGTTGGCACAGAGGTGGACCATAGTCCGACATCCCGGGCCATTGTCGAGACCTGATACTTGCTTTCTCACTGCTGTATAAGTATAACTAAATAAGTGTGTATATATGTGTACACACACACATCCTGTAAGCTACGGGGGTATTCATTTCCATCCGTCCACTCGTTTGCTCAGCTATCACGAGAGGCTCCAGCAGATCCGGGCTTGGATGCCGATGAGCCAGCGACTCAAAGCGCATCGAGAACCGGACCAGTGCTCGGACCTTCAGCTTCGAAGTTTCAGCGATTGGTACCATAGTATTGCCCTCGTTTCCCGAAGGGCACATTCGTTGCTTATGGAGTTACGAACTGACTTGCAGTGGTGGTCGTCTCGGTGCAGCAATATAATTATGTGCTTTTGTGCATCCTGTCTTCTGCTCCATGTGCAGGTGGTTTGCATAGCAATCTTGTTATGTGAGAGACAAGCAGTTGGGGTGCCGGACGACACGGGGTCAGTGCCGCATCTGTGCCGAGACAGAAACCGTCCCCGCTTTTGTATATTCTGAGGGTACCTGTGTTTGCCAGATTTCCCTCTTGAATGTAACTCTTGTTGTGTAGGCTACATTGTAAACTTGGTTTCGGAGTGTTCAAGGATTCTAGGGATGTTAAGGGCTTGTGCAGCCTGCAAGTTTGCCCAGGGGTCGATGGGGGCCATCTGAGACGTGCGTTGCAAAATGAATGGGACCTTTTCTTCCAAGCCTTTTCGATTGCCAGGCTTCCCATTACTGACCAGACTGGGCCTCAGTCAGCCTGCAACACTGCAGATGTCTTGAAACACATCAGCAGATCATCATGTGAGAGGGCTCGCAAGTTTCCGATGTTTCCGGTCGGTTGGTCCAGGCGCGAAGGAGAAGGAAGCAGCTTCGAGGCGTTGATTGGGTTTAGGGTGCTTTAGGGAAGCTGAGCACAGATCTGCGACGCCATATCACCCGTCTAATACCAGCGGTATCCCGCGGACACACACTGACTGCTGTCTCGGCCAGCCCCGATGAGCATGCTTGCATCCCACGCCTTGGGACTTCGCGGCATATGTGTTATGTCGTGTGGCCTCTTACAGTCTGTGCCGCTCAAGTCTGCGTTCGCCTCCGCGTGCCAGGTCCCTCAGCCACGTGGGGCGGGCAGCGTTCGGGCAGGCGCTGCTTGATTGATGCACCAGACTACTCTGTTCAGTTACAGTTGGTGCGCAGCGAACGCGCCTGCGAGGAAGCGCCGCAAGTGGCAACAGCGTGCCCGGCCAAAGTGCCACGTTCGAGACTGAGACCTGCGTGGTTTTTTGACTTGTTTCTTGCGTGGCTTTGCTTTAAGATCGTAGAGCATTGTAGAGTCCTCCGGAGCGTGGAGGCCCGCAAAGAGTCCTCCGAGCTCTGCGGGGAGCCGGCGGGCGCGCAGCTTACACACTCACGGGTTGCACAGGCGAGAGCTGTCAGAACAGTTTGCTCAGGTACCGCCAAGCACTGGCTCCGCCATGCAGGTCGACGCGGGTTTTTCAGCTCTTGCCGTTTCGCTTTGACAGTGTGAGACTTCACGACTCAGCCTTGCTGTGTGTGCAACCGTCCCGCCGTGCAGCCGCGCGCTGGCGACTCGACCAATGTGGCCAAGGCGTGGACGTGCCCAGTCCCTGAAGAGATTCGAGATGCATCGAAATTCAGCGACAGGGGAGGCATGGTGCAAGTCGGGCAGCGCTGAACCCGAGAAAATTTCAGGAAACCGGTCAGGAAGGATCTGCAGTCTCATGAGCCAGCAGCAGCACTAGCAGCACTGTAGCACCGAAAGCCAGATCCACGAGCTTGGGAGCAGAAAGTGCTCTGCTCTGATCGTGTTAAAGGCAGCAGATCTCGTGGTTGAAACGAACTTCTGAATGGAGGAGCCGTAACGACAAGGAAAGCGAACTGCCGCTGTGAGGCAATTGAACGTAGACAGTACCTAGTTGGTCCCATGTGATGATGAGCAGTGTGGCGTTTGTAGACTAGCCCAAGACACAACGGCTGGTGGACCTGGGAGGCAAATGATTCAAGAAAGGCTGCACATACCCGTTGCAAGCTCTGTGTGTTGTTGATGAGTTTGAGGTTTCTGGCTCAGCAACTATCGATCTCGCTTTGTGGAGAGTGCTCTTGACTACAACAGTTGTGAGGCACATGAGGCTACCGCAAGTTGTACGCTCGGGGATGCATGGGGTGTAAAGTGCGGGAGGGGCTCGAAGAAGGCCCCGGGCGGCCAGGGTCTCCTGCGCGAGCGTTGCGTGTTTATTTGAAGGGAGGGGCTGACAAGGAGGGTTTCAGATTGCGCCGTCTTCCACACTGGGCCCATGCAGATTTTTTGCTGAATGGAGATCCTATTGCGAGGCTCCTCTCGACATGGGGCTCGACCTGGGTTTCGATGCCGACGAGCCAGCACCCCAGAATGCTGATGCGGCCAGATACTGCCATGGTTTTTGCGAAGCGCAATTTAGCCTCCGGTGCCATGCAACCGATACACGCGAGATTCGAGCACGTCTACTACTCCGATTCATGCACTCGCGATTCAAGCACCCGCGACTCCAGCCTGTTCGATTCAAGCGGCAGCGACTCCAGCCCGTGCCAGCAGTTGGTATTCAGGTGATTCATGGTGATTCCGTGCAATTGCAAGCACTAGTCATGCTCTCGAAAGCAGAGCATCCGGTTTAGGCTGTGGGAAGTGCGGTTTGGGGTTTCACCATGCATGCACAGCCTCGTCTTTAGGGTTTAGGGGTTTAGGCGCTCAGCATTTTAGGGTTTAGGCTTGCAGGGTTCGGGGTCTTAAGGTTAGGCTTGAGGGCTTGGCGATTTAGGGCTTTGCAGCAGGCCAAAAGAGCCGAGTCTAGCGTTCAGGGTGCAGGGCCCTTTGACCTTATATTTAAAAGCCGAAAGGCAAAGCAGAATAAACCAATTCAGCTGAGCAGCAAGAGCTTGTAGATTTGGGCTCAAGGAACCTACCGAAAAAAACCATTATACAGCAACCACGATTTTAAAACAGCCGCCCTCCTTTCTCCGGCCAGGTCTACTTGTGAGATACTGTTTTACCTTGAAGCTGTGCTCTGGACATGACATTGCTTTTGTGCAAGTACGTGTGACTGTGTCCTATCTTATCGATGGTGGTTGTGATGTCCCACAGAGCACGTTTCCAGGCAGCTGACCTCCTGTTTGCATTTGCTCTGTCTACACAGGTTTTTGAGGCTGGGCTGCCTTTGGATTCGGTCACATGGGTTCCGAAAGCATAAGAGCATGTGGTTTCAACTTTCACTTCCCTGCGGACGCAGAACTCAACAACCGAAACCCGAAAACAGACTAGGTTCTCCTTCCATTCTGATACCCCAAAGGTTAAATCCTTAAACCCAACATCCCAAACGCGACGCTGACCCTAAACAAATCCTGACGCCTGAAGCTTCATCACGGCATGAAGTGAAGCACTCCTCCTTACGCAGTTTGGGTTTGGCGTGCGGGTGAGGCTAGGCTATAAAGCCCTGCCCCGCATCCTTGTGCAAATCCCGGGCGCCAATAGGATCGATTCACGAATCCGGGCGGTCGGTGCGCTAATCCCTGATACTGTGGGAATCTACGGTGCGCGAATCCTCCGCAGTCGGGGTTGAATTGTTGGCGTGCGAATGTGCCGCCGCCGTGCGCGAACCACCGATGCGCCAGTCCAGGGGCACGACACGTCGCTCGGGCCGTAGGAGTAGCATTGCTACCGGTAGCAGCAACAATAGCTGCAGTATAGATCGAGCACCTTAAAACTTGTCAGTCTCTGTCGATCTTTTAGGCTTGGCCTTCCGGACCTTGGCATTTCGGACCCGCATGGGGCCCAGAAAACTTGCAAAGTTGCGAAAGAGTTT